AATGTCTTCATCAGTGACTTGGACGCGGGGGTGAAGTGTACTCTGTCCAAGTTTGCAGATGACACAAAGCTGTGGGGAGATGTGGACACGCCGGAGGGCAGGGAACAGCTGCAAGCAGATCTGGACAGGTTGGACAAGTGGGCAGAAAACAACAGAATGCAGTTCAACAAGGAGAAATGCAAAGTGCTGCATCTAGGGAGGAAAAATGTCCAGCACACCTACAGCCTAGGGAATGACCTGCTGGGTGGCATGGAAGTGGAAAGGGATCTTGGAGTCCTAGTGGACTCTAAGATGAACATGAGTCGGCAGTGTGACGAAGCCATCAGAAAAGCCAATGGCACTTTATCGTGCATCAGCAGATGCATGACGAATAGGTCCAAGGAGGTGATACTTCCCCTTTATCGGGCGCTGGTCAGACCGCAGTTGGAGTACTGCGTGCAATTCTGGAGAGGGTCCAGAGAAGGGCCACTCGTATGGTTAGGGGCTTGCAGGCAAGCAGGCCAAGCCCTATGAGGAGAGACCTTTTCAGGTCTCTCCACCAGGCTCCACCAGGACCTTTTCAGCCTCCGCAAGAGAAGGTTGAGAGGCGACCTTGTGGCTGCCTATAAGTTCATCACGGGGGCACAGAAGGGAATTGGTGAGTATTTATTCACCAAGGTGCCCCCAGGGGTTACAAGAAATAATGGCCACAAGCTAGCAGAGAGCAGATTTAGATTGGACATTAGGAAGAACTTCTTCACAGTTAGTGGCCAAGGTCTGGAACGGGCTCCCAAGGGAGGTGGTGCTCTCCCCTACCCTGGGGGTCTTCAAGAGGAGGTTGGATAAGTATCTAGCTGGGGTCATCCACACCCAGCACTCTGTCCTGCCTATGCAGGGGGTCGGACTCGATGATCTATTGAGGTCCCTTCCGACCCTAACATCTATGAATCTATGAATAAAAGATTAAATTCAGGCTTGGGAGGGGACTGATTCCTAAGCAGCGCTGGGTTGGCAGCACACCAATTAATTCAAGCCCTGCCTCTTAACCTGGCTTTGGACATGCAGTTTTCACAGGCGCTAACGAACACAGAAACTACATTCCGCAGTAAAACAGGCCGCAGGCAGTGGGTTGGTGGCAAGGCCTGAAACACCCAACTGCTGTTTCATGCTGTGTGCGTGTGCCTGACTGGAGCCTTTCAGTGTGTGCATGGGTAGGCGCACGTGTGCACACACACCTGGGCACAGGCCAAGTGCAGGTCTGCACTGGCGGAGGCTCCTCTCACAGGGTGCAGGTGCGCTGGTGAGCAGAGGCCCCATGCGCTGTGCACACGGATGATTGGTGGATGGCAGGTGGCGACTGCCAGCGTAGATACCTGCTGTTTAGAAGGATTGAGCTCTGCCTGCCCAATCCATACGATTTGGAACTGATTTGGCTGATTTGCCCTTGAACACTAAATATAGTGGTTAAAAAAAAAAAGGCGTGCCCCTCTCGGAGGCGGCAGGAGGGGCCACAGGGTACACGCGGGCAGGGGGCGGGGCCGCAGGTCGCACAGCGTTGGCACAGCGCGTCCTGCCCAGCCGTGCACATGCGCGGCACTGACTTTCCCGCACTGCGCCTGCGCAGCCCGGGTGCATCATGGGCTGCGAGGGTTGGAAGGCGAAGAGAGCCGAGGCAGTTCGTGTGCCCGGGCGGGAGCTTGCGGGGCCTCTGCTGTCCTCATGACTCAGCGTGACGCCTCGCAGTTGCCATCTCAAGCTCCTTGGGCGCTGTGACGCCATCAGCGCGCGCCGCGTCCACACGAGTCTCCCCAGCCGCGTCGCG